GCTCGTAATTCTGAGTTTCCAACCGTGGGAACAACTCCAGAGAGCATACTACTAGTGCTGGACACAACTGGGCAGAGAACTCCAACAGCGCAGCAAAGTATTTGACAGCACAAGCAAGCATACTTTCCTACAGCCATGGCTACTTCCAACAGAGCTCGTGGTCATCATTATCAACGACACCATGGACGACAACAAGACAAATAATCTCTGCCCATTACCTTAGTGAATTCCTAGGCTATGCTTATTGGTTCTAGGATATGACAACAAGGCTAGTATGTCTTGTACATAATCATAATGACCATGCCTTGCTGTCCTTAGCTCTAGAAAGATGATAGGCGACCTGAGCTACCTGCTCGAGGCGCCCTTGCTAGTATCCTAGTATATTAGGATATATCTCTGAAATGTAAGCCATCATATGATCTCTTGTAAAGCTATCTTGCTACTATCTTTCTGAAATTCCCCTAAGAGCACTTCCTACTACTACTACTCTGCCAAAACAGCTTAGTGGCTGTTTCATTTGGTATCCGAGCTATCTTCGATCCTCCTTTTCTTGAGAACAGCGTCATGACGACTAGTAAGGTACCTTCTCGTGATGAATGGGCCACCTACTTGCAAACGTACCGTGCCCAAATTGTTGCTGAAGTTAGAGAGAGCTTGCAAGCAGAGATGCAAGCTAGTGTAGCTGCAGCTGGAGTGGCGGCAGCAAACTCGAGCCCTGCTGCACCGCCAGACGGAAATCAGCGCGCTAGACCCGCCCTTCCTGATTTTTTCTTTCCCGGGAGAAACCAACCAGTCGTGAGCCGTTGGCTCTTTCTTGTTGAGCAATTCCTGCTCCTGAGTCACATACTACCTGCCGAGTGGACTGCTTTGACCGGCACCCTTCTTCGTGGATCTGCAATCACCTGGTGGCAATCCGTGCATGCGACCATCCAATCATGGGATCAATTCAAGCTGATCTTCACTGCAACCTTCCAACCGGTGAACCCGAACATCAGAGCACGAGACGCCTTGGCTGCTCTGAAGCAACTCAAATCTGTTCAAGATTACGCTTCTCGCTTCCGTGACATGCTGAGCGGATGGATCGTTTCAAGCGCGGGCTGAAAACAAACGTGCGCATGGAGGTCGAGCTGAGGGACTGCTCTACGCTCGAGGAAATGATACGCGTGGCTGAACGGTATGATTCTGTCCATTACGCATACAACAAGCCTCGCTTTCCTCGTAGCCCGTTCCTCCCGTTTGCTCCCTCCTACCAGCCCTCTACTCCAACTGACTCCAATCTTCAAGAATCTGCTCCTATGGACCTGGACCTGATGGAGAAGAGAAAGAGAAACCCGAGGCCAGCCATCGTGTGCTACAAGTGCGGCAAGAAAGGGCACGTGTGGAAGGTCTGCTGCCAACGCACCAATCAGCCTCCCATCCTTCCAACGCCGGGAAACTCAAGTCGCCAGTAAACTCGGGGCAACTTTCTGGTAACTATGCCTGCCCCACCATCTCTTCCCTTGAAAGTCGTAACCCCTCTGAACCCCTTCTCCTTTCCATGCTGATTCGTGGTCAGAGAGTGAAAGCTCTAGTTGACAGTGGTGCTTCTTCTAACTTCATCTCCTCCTCTCTACTCTCCAAGCTTTCTCTTCCAGCTCAATCTGATTCCATACCTCAAACAGTGTTGATGGCGAACGGAACCTCGATTTCATGTGGACAAGTACCATTCCCTGTTTCATGTACAATCGGACCTTACAGAGACAAGATTCAGTTTCAGCAAGCATCTCTCGGAGACCATGAAGTGATTCTTGGACGTGACTGGCTTTCCTTAAAAAACCCCAAGATTGATTGGACTCTTGGAACCGTCACCATCTCTCACTCTGGAAGAGATATCACCTTACCTACCTTCTCCTCCTCCTCCTCTACCTCTACTTGCTGCAACATCCTCTCGAAACGGCAGCTGAAAAAATCTCTCAATGACCCAAACTCTCAATTCTTCCTCTGTTTTTTGAATCAAATTTCAGAAACTCCTATTCTTCCTTCCCCTCCCAAGGCTGCTGAAATCCCTTCTGAAATTCAACAGGTTGTCAATGAGTTCAAAGACATCTTCCCTGCTGATCTTCCCTCTTCACTCCCTCCAAAGCGTGCCATCGATCACCGCATCATCTTACAACCCGGTGCTGAACCTACCGTTCGCGCTACGTACCGGATGAGCGCTGCCGAGCTGAAAGAAGTTCAGAAGCAGTTGGAGGAGCTTCTTGAGAAGGGCTTCATCCGCGTCAGCTCCTCTCCCTATGCAGCACCGATTCTCTTCGTCAAAAAGAAAGATGGCAGCATGCGCATGTGCGTTGACTACCGTGCGCTCAACAAAATCACCGTCAAGAATCGCTACCCGCTACCTCGAGTGGAAGAACTCTTTGATCAACTTGGTGAGGCCACAATTTTCAGCAAGCTGGACCTACGAAGCGGTTACCATCAAGTGCGTGTCGCTGACGAAGACATCGAGAAAACCGCCTTTCGAACACGGTATGGGCATTTCGAGTTTCTCGTGCTTCCTTTCGGACTAACGAATGCCCCTGCCACCTTCATGTCCTTGATGCACAGTGTCTTTCGGGATTTCTTGGACCGGTTTGTCATCATCTTCATCGATGACATTCTGATTTATAGCAAATCCTTGAAGGAACACGTCGAGCATCTAAGGCAAGTCTTCACACGGCTTTGTGAGCATCGTCTCTTCGCCAAACAGAGCAAGTGTGAGTTTGCCAAGCCCTTGATTCCTTTCTTGGGCCACATCATCTCACACAACCAGCTTGCTATGGACCCTTCCAAAGTCAAAGCCATCAGGGAATGGAAGGAGCCAACCTCTATCAAGGAAGTGCAAGCCTTCCTTGGTCTTGCCAACTACTACCGCAAGTTCATTCGACACTTTGCTGCCATCACCTCTCCCCTATCCAACCTTCTTCGCAAAACTGAACCATTCCATTGGGACTCTGACCAGCAAACTGCCTTCAATGCTCTCAAGTGTGCACTAACCTCTTCTCCTACTCTAGCCCTACCCAACCCCTCCCTACCCTACGTGATATGGACAGATGCGTCTCAGGTTGCAACGGGTGCAATTCTCTGTCAAGATCAAGGGCATGGCCTTCAGCCTATCGCCTTCGAGTCCCGGAAACTGAAACCTGCCGAGTGCAACTATGCTACTCACGATCGCGAGGCGCTGGCCATCGTCCATGCAATCAAGAAGTGGTGCTGCTATGTTCACATGCAGCCCGTCACTGTTCTTACCAATCACTGCACCCTGCAATACCTGAAGACGCAGCCCCATCTCACCCCGAGGCAGGCCCGATGGATGGAGTACCTGGAACAGTACGTACCGGAGCTGAAAATCGAGTACCGCGCTGGCCGCCTCAACCCTGCTGATTCCTTGACCCGGCCTCCTCAACCTCAGCTCACCACCATCGGAAGCGTCACATGGGACGAAAGTTTCATCAAGAAGTTCACCAAAGGGTATCGTCGTGACCGTTTCTATCTCTACTCTGCTGCTGATGATTGTAACAAGACGAAGGCGATCTCGTCATACTCGATTTCGCCAACTCAGCTCCTTGTGATCCGAACCAGAATTCGGAACACACCCTAAGTACATTTCGGGAATTCAATGTTGGAATCCAACATTGAATTGTGCGGCTCGTAATTCTGAGTTTCCAACCGTGGGAACAACTCCAGAGAGCATACTACTAGTGCTGGACACAACTGGGCAGAGAACTCCAACAGCGCACCAAAGTATTTGACAGCACAAGCAAGCATACTTTCCTACAGCCATGGCTACTTCCAACAGAGCTCGTGGTCATCATTATCAACGACACCATGGACGACAACAAGACAAATAATCTCTGCCCATTACCTTAGTGAATTCCTAGGCTATGCTTATTGGTTCTAGGATATGACAACAAGGCTAGTATGTCTTGTACATAATCATAATGACTATGCCTTGCTGTCCTTAGCTCTAGAAAGATGATAGGCGACCTGAGCGACCTGCTCGAGGCGCCCTTGCTAGTATCCTAGTATATTAGGATATATCTCTGAAATGTAAGCCATCATATGATCTCTTGTAAAGCTATCTTGCTACTATCTTTCTGAAATTCCCCTAAGAGCACTTCCTACTACTACTACTCTGCCAAAACAGCTTAGTGGCTGTTTCAAATTGGAAGCTGAGACCAGCGAGGCTACTATGAGTTTTGAAACTGCCTAGTGCGTCACAGGGTGACTAGTACCGCTATAATTAGCTTGAGCAGGTGAAATACATACTTCGTCTCTACTCCTCATGAACCAAAGTTTCCCGCACCGTGCGGGAATGTTGCGGTCTCGCAACTGTCCCGACGGTTTTGGGAGCCGCCATTCTGTAGTGACTACAGCCGACGCAGCGTCAGCCACCAAGTGCTACAAGCCGACGCTGCGAGTCGCAACGCCTCGTCGCTTGTTTTTCAAGCTATGCGGCCAATATTGGGCATCTTTGAATTTTGGCCGCAAGCGATATGGTCTTGCGGCCAGTATTCAAAGATGCCCCTTTCGTCCAATTAGTGCCGCTCTCTGGAGACTCAACTATTCTTTTCGCATAAAAAACAGTTGCGTTTCCGCCACGTCATCCCAAAAACATGCTATCAAACATCCTACCCCCCCTCTTTGGGTAAATCCAGAAGGCTCCGCCGGGGGTACTAGTGAGCAATGAACTAGCAGCGTGTTTCTAGAAGCTTTTGAGCAGAAGCCGCGGGAGATGTGGGGAGCGCTGGGCGTCCGAGGTGGAAGCATTGAAGACAGAGTTTGGCGGATCATCCTAACCTAGAGTGCGGGGACGCCAACGGCGCCGAAAAGTAACTTCGAAAACGCCTCTGGATGATGGAAGAGGCGTGATACTGGCGACGAGAGGACTGGTAAATTGGTAACCACTCACTAGAGTAGCAGGGTGAGTTGGCAACGGAGGACAAAGTTAGCAAAAGCGCGGAAAGGGTGACGAGCACAGTGCGATGGGGGAGGCGGATGGCCAATCGCAGCATGCAGCATGGCTGCGATTGGTGGAGCAGGCGACGGAGGGCGGTGAGCTGGACAACGAGAAGTTCCTCGAGAAGATGGGGCGACGACTGGACAGGTGAGACTTCACAAGAAGGTCCCAGGTGGGACTGGACGTTATCATTGAATCAATTTGTACGCTGCACAGTTTACATCTCACCATCCGGACCCAACTTGCTCTGATGTGGTTTTGAGTGTCATGCGGACGACAGTGGAGAATACGGCTCACTTTGTGACCCCATTTGAAGCCAGCGAGCCAACCTACACCTTTCCACCCCATGCCTCGCAGCGTGGGAGTGTCGTTCCCCGGAGTGGAGGTGCGCTTTGAGGGGGTGAGCGCGTGTGCCAAGGTGCAGGTGGGGGCGAGGGGCCTGCCCACGCTGCCCAACGTGCTGGCCAACCAAGCAGTGGCGGTGCTGAGGGAGCTGCGGCTACTCAAGGATTGCCGCCGCCTCTTCTTCGCTCTTCACGGCTGCTCTGGCATCCTCAAGCCCGGCAGGTGAGCAGCCTGACACGTACATTCCTGCGTCTATGAATATGCAAGGTTCGGCATTGCTTGGTAATTCCGGCATCCCCAAACCTGGTAGGTATGGGGACTCCAAGCCTAGCAGGTAGGTGGCTTGACACTTGATCGTAACATGATGGTATTTTGGGCCTGCCATGGAATCATGTGACAATCTGAGGGCTGAGATAGTGGTGACAACTTTTCCAAACCCCTTCAAAAAAAAAATCTTGCTCTTCCTATTTCACAGGATGACGCTGCTGCTGGGGCCGCCAGGCAGCGGCAATTCAACGCTGCTGAGGATCCTGGCAGGGAAGGCGGAGAGGGAGCTGGGCGTGCAGGGCGAGGTGACGTACAACGGCCGCCCGGGGAGCCACTTTGTGCTGCCGCGGTCCGTGGCGTTTGTGCCTCAGACGGACTCCCACATGGGCGAGATGACCGTCCGGGAGACGCTCAAGTTCTCCGCTCGCCTTCAGGGGCCCGGCCACCGGGCAGGTAGTGCATTCTTTCTTTTCCCAAGTCATCCTGGGTGGGTACAGTACAGAGTGGCCATGGCCGGTTCCTTGTGTGCGGTCCAAGTAGTAAGGACGCCGGTCCCTCCCTCCCTCCCTCCCTCCCTCCCTCCCTCCCTCCCTCCCTCCCTCCTCCCTCCCTCCCTCTTCCTCTCACCTTGGTGGTATTTTGCACCTTGATTTTTGCTCCTTTCCTCACACCTTGGTGGTATTTTGCACCTTGATTTTTGCTCCTTTCCTCACACCTTGGTGGTATTTTGCACCTTTTGCTCGTTGCTGATCGCCCATTCTGCTTCTCACCTATTCCGCTCATATCTCATTATGCTGCCTCAAATCGTTGTGCTCGTCGTGCAGAACTATTTCGGCAAGTGGAGGAGAAAGAGAGGGAGGCCGGCATCAAGCCTGATGACGTCATGGAGGCCGTGATGAAGGTGCAGATGATGTCATCGGGTTGATCATGGCACGGTCACAGCCACTATGCTACGGATTGCATGTATCGCCTTGTTGTAACATTCTCAGAAATGCCCCACGCGGCATCACCACAGTAGCTCTCTGGGTCTTTGATTTGAGGGGTGGGGATGATGTTGGAATCACAGAAAATGGGGTCATTGCAGTTGCAGGGATGTTATGGGTCCTTTTGGGTCCCGGAGCCTTCTTTGTGTTTCCCAATCCAAAGCCTCAATCTACCCCCATATGTCTCTTTTGACCCACAAGTCTCTTACCCCGTCACACTTCTCTCCCCTCCCCGTCACGTCTCTTCTTCCCACCCCACACGTATGTTCCCCTCTTTTCCTTGGTTATTGCTGCATGCGCCATCATCAATGATGCATGCGCCATCATCAATGATGCATGCGCCATCATCAATGATGCATGCAGGCGATGGCCGATGAGAGGCAGTGCTTGGAGGTTGTGGTGCAGTACGTCCTCAATGTGAGTGTGCGTGTGTGTGTGAGTGTGTGTGTGTGTGTGTGTGAGAGTGTGTGTGTGAGTGTGTGTGTGTGTGTGAGTGTGTGTGTTTGTGAGTGCGTGTGTGTGTGTGTGTGAGAGTGTGTGTGTGTGTGTGTCTGTGTGTGCGTGTGTTGACGTATCAGTTATCCCTTTGCCATGATCTCCTTTTCTTCCTGCGTTTCTTTACTCATTTTTCCTTTGCGAACCTCATCCCACCTCCCTCCCCCCTCATTCCCCACCTCACTCCCCATCATGTCCCCCTTATTCCCCGCTCGCTCCTTCCTCACTCCCTCCCTCACCGCACGGCCCACTCAATTGTAGTGATGCTCGACACTATCAATTGCCCCTCTACTCCCCTATCCCCACCCTTTATTGCTCCCTATCCTCACCCCTCCACGCAGATGCTCGGCCTGGACGTGTGTGCTGATACCATGGTTGGGGACAGCATGAGGAGGGGAGTATCAGGAGGGCAGACGAAGTGAGTGAGCATCGCCGAGGCACTTGTGGGAGCGAAGCAGGTCCTGCTGATGGATGAGATCTCCAATGGGCTTGACTCCGCCACCACTTACCACATCACCCGGTGCCTGCGCAACCTCACGCACTTAACTAATACCACCACCCTCATCTCCCTGCTGCAACCCGCGCCGGAAACCTTTGAGCTTTTTTATGACATCATGCTGATGTCAGAGGGGCGGATTGTGTACCATGGGCCCAGGGAGGAGGTGTTGGGATTCTTTCAGGAAATGGGGTTTGCCCCGCCTGCCCGCAAGGGAGTGGCTGACTTCCTGCAAGAGGTGCGTTTCCTGTGCTGCCTGCAACAAGTGAGGTATACTTGCGCTGCCTGCAACAAGTGAGGTATACTTGCGCTGCCTGCAACAAGTGAGGTATAATTGTGCTGCCTGCAACAAGTGAGGTATAATTGTGCTGCCTGCAACAAGTGAGATATAATTGTGCTGCCTGCAACAAGTGAGGCATAATTGTGCTGCCTGCAACAAGTGAGGCATAATTGTGCTGCCTGCAACAAGTGAGGCATAATTGTGCTGCCTGCAACAAGTGAGGCATAATTGTGCTGCCTGCAACAAGTGAGGCATAATTGTGCTGCCTGCAACAAGTGAGGCATAATTGTGCTGCCTGCAACAAGTGAGGCATAATTGTGCTGCCTGCAACAAGTGAGGCATAATTGTGCTGCCTGCAACAAGTGAGGCATAATTGTGCTGCCTGCAACAAGTGAGGCATAATTGTGCTGCCTGCAACAAGTGAGGCATAATTGTGCTGCCTGCAACAAGTGAGGCATAATTGTGCTGCCTGCAACAAGTGAGGCATAATTGTGCTGCCTGCAACAAGTGAGGCATAATTGTGCTGCCTGCAACAAGTGAGGCATAATTGTGCTGCCTGCAACAAGTGAGGCATAATTGTGCTGCCTGCAACAAGTGAGGCATAATTGTGCTGCCTGCAACAAGTGAGGCATAATTGTGCTGCCTGCAACAAGTGAGGCATAATTGTGCTGCCTGCAACAAGTGAGGCATAATTGTGCTGCCTGCAACAAGTGAGGCATAATTGTGCTGCCTGCAACAAGTGAGGCATAATTGTGCTGCCTGCAACAAGTGAGGCATAATTGTGCTGCCTGCAACAAGTGAGGCATAATTGTGCTGCCTGCAACAAGTGAGGCATAATTGTGCTGCCTGCAACAAGTGAGGCATAATTGTGCTGCCTGCAACAAGTGAGGCATAATTGTGCTGCCTGCAACAAGTGAGGCATAATTGTGCTGCCTGCAACAAGTGAGGCATAATTGTGCTGCCTGCAACAAGTGAGGCATAATTGTGCTGCCTGCAACAAGTGAGGCATAATTGTGCTGCCTGCAACAAGTGAGGCATAATTGTGCTGCCTGCAACAAGTGAGGCATAATTGTGCTGCCTGCAACAAGTGAGGCATAATTGTGCTGCCTGCAACAAGTGAGGCATAATTGTGCTGCCTGCAACAAGTGAGGCATAATTGTGCTGCCTGCAACAAGTGAGGCATAATTGTGCTGCCTGCAACAAGTGAGGCATAATTGTGCTGCCTGCAACAAGTGAGGCATAATTGTGCTGCCTGCAACAAGTGAGGCATAATTGTGCTGCCTGCAACAAGTGAGGCATAATTGTGCTGCCTGCAACAAGTGAGGCATAATTGTGCTGCCTGCAACAAGTGAGGCATAATTGTGCTGCCTGCAACAAGTGAGGCATAATTGTGCTGCCTGCAACAAGTGAGGCATAATTGTGCTGCCTGCAACAAGTGAGGCATAATTGTGCTGCCTGCAACAAGTGAGGCATAATTGTGCTGCCTGCAACAAGTGAGGCATAATTGTGCTGCCTGCAACACGTGAGGCATAATTGTGCTGCCTGCAACAAGTGAGGCATAATTGTGCTGCCTGCAACAAGTGAGGCATAATTGTGCTGCCTGCAACAAGTGAGGTATAATTGTGCTGCCTGCAACAAGTGAGGCATAATTGTGCTGCCTGCAACAAGTCAGGTATAATTGTGCTGCCTGCAACAAGTGAGGAATAATTGTGCTGCCTGCAACAAGTGAGGAATAATTGTGCTGCCTGCAACAAGTGAGGAATAATTGTGCTGCCTGCAACAAGTGAGGAATAATTGTGCTGCCTGCAACAAGTGAGGTATAATTGTGCTGCCTGCAACAAGTGAGGTATAATTGTGCTGCCTGCAACAAGTGAGGTATAATTGTGCTGCCTGCAACAAGTGAGGTATAATTGTGCTGCCTGCAACAAGTGAGGTATAATTGTGCTGCCTGCAACAAGTGAGGTATAATTGTGCTGCCTCCCAGTTGAGTCGACTGCAAAGTCAGGAAGTGGAAGTTCAGTTTTTGGTCTGATTCCAAGGTGCGGGTAGTTTTCCTGGACGTTGGTGTGAAGAGTTTATAGTTTTGCTGTTAAACTACTTGAAAGAAGCTTAAGCTTCCTTCGGAGAGAGCTTCTTTTTGGATTTTGCAAGGTTCTTTTCGACGTCAGCACGCACTGTCCTTAATGTAGCTAGCGCCTGCTCTGCTCCTGCTCCTTCTTTTGAAATTTCTCCTCCTTCCCTTCGGTTTTCCCCTCCTGCCTTTCTCGTGCCTCATCCCACCCATCTTATAGGTCACCTCACTAAAAGATCAGGAGCAGTACTGGAAACCCAATCAACTCCACCCATATCACTACGTATCCGTCCGAGCCTTTGAGGAGGCCTTCCAAGCCTCTAGGTTCGGCAAGCAGATGGAAGCAGAGCTCTCCATGCCATTCAAAAAGGATCGGGGCGCATTCGAGGGAGAGGGTGAGGGGAAAGACGTGGAAGATGAGGGGGAGAAGGGGACGGGAGAGAGAGGGGAAGTGGGTGCGTCTCTTGCTCTGGCACAGAGGCGGTTTGTGCTTCATCCGCTGGCCACGCTCACCATCGTGGCAGGCCGCGAGTGGCTGGTGATGAGGCGCAATCTGTTCCTCTACATCGTGCAGACCATGCAGGTACAGCTGACGCATGTTGCAGATGCCTGTTGCAGATAGTCAGTCACAGATGCTGCTGGTTACGGTGGTACAGATGCTGGTTGCAGTGGTACAGATGCTGGTTGCAGTGGTACAGATGCTGGTTACAGTGTTACAGAAGCTGGTTACAGTGGTACAGATGTCGGTTACAGTGGTACAGATGCTGGTTACAGTGGTACAGATGCTGGTTACAGTGATACAGATGCTGGTTACAATGGTACAGGTCCTGGTTACAATGGTACCGATGCTGGTTACAGTGGTACAGATGCTGGTTACATACGCATGTTACTGATGCCAGTTAGGAATGCATGGTGTAGACGCTCGTTACAACCTCCCCACCCTTCTCCTTTTTCTCAATGTGCGCCATCACGCCTTGTCATTCTCTTTTTTCCTGGGTCTTCTTCTCCGCACCTTCTCTTCCTCCTCACTCACCACAGCTTTTCCCTCTCACACACCTTCCCCCAACCCCCCTCCAGATCCTCCCCATCGCTATAGTCACAATGTCTGTCTTCTGGCGCTCCCAGTTGTCCATCACCCTTCTGGACAGCAATTTCTATCTGGGAGCAATTTTCTTCGGTATAGTCACAATGCTGTCAAGCAGCATCATCGAGCTCACGCTGCTCACGGCCCGCCTGCCCATCTTCTTCCTCCAACGGGACAACCTGCTCTTCCCCGCCTGGGCTTGGTCTGCACCCATGGCGCTGCTCTCTCTGCCCGTCTCCCTCTGGTCCGCCGGGGTCTGGACGTCCATCACCTACTATGGCATTGGCTTTGCCCCCGAATTCTCACGGTAAGTATAGGTAGGGTACCCGAATTCTCCTGGGAAGTTTTGCGTACCGATAAGTTGACCTGCAGGAGCCTTCCACATGACCGCTCTCAGCACCCACTGAATAGCAGGAGCCATCCTGTAGGCGTTAATGCAGTTCCCCTCCCCTCCCTGCCCTGCCCCCCTCTGTCGTCTCCCTTGCGGCTTCATCTCACAGCTGCTGCTCTTCGTCATCACTCACATCGCTGGCTCTGTGCTCCATTGAGCCATGAGAACCAGTTTCCACGCTCCAGGTGCCTCCACTCTTCCCTTAACGCCCCTCTCTCCCTCCCCCCCCCCCTCTCTCCTCATGCAGCTTCATTTCCCAGCTGCTGCTATTCTTTGTCACGCACATGGCCGGCTCTGCGTTCTACCAGCCGTAGCGACCGTCTTGCGCAGCACGACGCTGATCAACACTCTTGGGAACATCATCATCGTGCTGCTCTTCCTGCTCTCCGGCTTCATCGTCACCAAAGGTGCGTGATTGTGAGGTGTGTGCTTGTGAGGTGTGTGATTGTGAGGTGTGTGCTTGTGCGGTGTGTGCTTGTGCGGTGTGTGCTTGTGAGGTGTGTGCTTGTGAGGTGTGTGCTTGTGAGGTGTGTGATTGTGAGGTGTGTGCTTGTGAGGTGTGTGATTGTGAGGTGTGTGCTTGTGAGGTGTGTGCTTGTGAGGTGTGTGCTTGTGAGGTGTGTGCTTGTGAGGTGTGTGCTTGTGAGGTGTGTGCTTGTGAGGTGTGTGCTTGTGAGGTGTGTGCTTGTGAGGTGTGTGCTTGTGAGGTGTGTGCTTGTGAGGTGTGTGCTTGTGAGGTGTGTGCTTGTGAGGTGTGTGCTTGTGAGGTGCGTGATTGTGAGGTGTGTGCTTGTGAGGTGTGTGCTTGTGAGGTGTGTGCTTGTGAGGTGTGTGCTTGTGAGGTGCGTGATTGTGAGGTGTGTGCTTGTGAGGTGTGTGCTTGTGAGGTGTGTGCTTGTGAGGTGTGTGCTTGTGAGGTGCGTGATTGTGAGGTGTGTGCTTGTGAGGTGTGTGCTTGTGAGGTGTGTGCTTGTGAGGTGCGTGATTGTGAGGTGTGTGCTTGTGAGGTGTGTGCTTGTGAGGTGTGTGCTTGTGAGGTGTGTGCTTGTGAGGTGTGTGCTTGTGAGGTGCGTGATTGTGAGGTGTGTGCTTGTGAGGTGTGTGCTTGTGAGGTGTGTGCTTGTGAGGTGTGTGCTTGTGAGGTGCGTGATTGTGAGGTGTGTGCTTGTGAGGTGTGTGCTTGTGAGGTGTGTGCTTGTGAGGTGTGTGCTTGTGAGGTGCGTGATTGTGAGGTGTGTGCTTGTGAGGTGTGTGCTTGTGAGGTGTGTGCTTGTGAGGTGCGTGATTGTGAGGTGTGTGCTTGTGAGGTGTGTGATTGTGAGGTGTGTGCTTGTGAGGTGTGTGCTTGTGAGGTGTGTGCTTGTGAGGTGTGTGCTTGTGAGGTGTGTGATTGTGAGGTGTGTGCTTGTGAGGTGTGTGCTCGTGAGGTGTGTGCTTGTGAGGTGTGTGCTTGTGAGGTGTGTGCTTGTGAGGTGTGTGCTTGTGAGGTGTGTGCTTGTGAGGTGTGTGCTTGTGAGGTGCGTGATTGTGAGGTGTGTGCTTGTGAGGTGTGTGCTTGTGAGGTGTGTGCTTGAGAGGTGTGTGCTTGTGAGGTGCGTGATTGTGAGGTGTGTGCTTGTGAGGTGTGTGCTTGTGAGGTGTGTGCTTGTGAGGTGTGTGCTTGTGAGGTGCGTGATTGTGAGGTGTGTGCTTGTGAGGTGTGTGCTTGTGAGGTGTGTGCTTGTGAGGTGCGTGATTGTGAGGTGTGTGCTTGTGAGGTGTGTGCTTGTGAGGTGTGTGCTTGTGAGGTGTGTGCTTGTGAGGTGTGTGCTTGTGAGGTGCGTGATTGTGAGGTGTGTGCTTGTGAGGTGTGTGCTTGTGAGGTGTGTGCTTGTGAGGTGTGTGCTTGTGAGGTGCGTGATTGTGAGGTGTGTGCTTGTGAGGTGTGTGCTTGTGAGGTGTGTGCTTGTGAGGTGTGTGCTTGTGAGGTGCGTGATTGTGAGGTGTGTGCTTGTGAGGTGTGTGCTTGTGAGGTGTGTGCTTGTGAGGTGCGTGATTGTGAGGTGTGTGCTTGTGAGGTGTGTGCTTGTGAGGTGTGTGCTTGTGAGGTGTGTGCTTGTGAGGTGTGTGCTTGTGAGGTGTGTGCTTGTGAGGTGTGTGCTTGTGAGGTGTGTGATTGTGAGGTGTGTGCTTGTGAGGTGTGTGCTTGTGAGGTGTGTGCTTGTGAGGTGTGTGCTTGTGAGGTGTGTGATTGTGAGGTGTGTGCTTGTGAGGTGTGTGCTCGTGAGGTGTGTGCTTGTGAGGTGTGTGCTTGTGAGGTGTGTGCTTGTGAGGTGTGTGCTTGTGAGGTGTGTGCTTGTGAGGTGTGTGCTTGTGAGGTGTGTGCTTGTGAGGTGTGTGCTTGTGAGGTGTGTGATTGTGAGGTGTGTGCTTGTGAGGTGTGTGCTTGTGAGGTGTGTGCTTGTGAGGTGTGTGCTTGTGAGGTGTGTGCTTGTGAGGTGCGTGATTGTGAGGTGTGTGCTTGTGAGGTGTGTGCTTGTGAGGTGTGTGCTTGTGAGGTGCGTGATTGTGAGGTGTGTGCTTGTGAGGTGTGTGCTTGTGAGGTGTGTGCTTGTGAGGTGTGTGCTTGTGAGGTGTGTGCTTGTGAGGTGCGTGATTGTGAGGTGTGTGCTTGTGAGGTGTGTGCTTGTGAGGTGTGTGCTCGTGAGGTGTGTGCTTGTGAGGTGCGTGATTGTGAGGTGTGTGCTTGTGAGGTGTGTGCTTGTGAGGTGTGTGCTTGTGAGGTGTGTGCTTGTGAGGTGCGTGATTGTGAGGTGTGTGCTTGTGAGGTGTGTGCTTGTGAGGTGTGTGCTTGTGAGGTGCGTGATTGTGAGGTGTGTGCTTGTGAGGTGTGTGATTGTGAGGTGTGTGCTTGTGAGGTGTGTGCTTGTGAGGTGTGTGCTTGTGAGGTGTGTGCTTGTGAGGTGTGTGATTGTGAGGTGTGTGCTTGTGAGGTGTGTGCTCGTGAGGTGTGTGCTTGTGAGGTGTGTGCTTGTGAGGTGTGTGCTTGTGAGGTGTGTGCTTGTGAGGTGTGTGCTTGTGAGGTGTGTGCTTGTGAGGTGCGTGATTGTGAGGTGTGTGCTTGTGAGGTGTGTGCTTGTGAGGTGTGTGCTTGTGAGGTGTGTGCTTGTGAGGTGCGTGATTGTGAGGTGTGTGCTTGTGAGGTGTGTGCTTGTGAGGTGTGTGCTTGTGAGGTGTGTGCTTGTGAGGTGCGTGATTGTGAGGTGTGTGCTTGTGAGGTGTGTGCTTGTGAGGTGTGTGCTTGTGAGGTGCGTGATTGTGAGGTGTGTGCTTGTGAGGTGTGTGCTTGTGAGGTGTGTGCTTGTGAGGTGTGTGCTTGTGAGGTGTGTGCTTGTGAGGTGCGTGATTGTGAGGTGTGTGCTTGTGAGGTGTGTGCTTGTGAGGTGTGTGCTTGTGAGGTGTGTGCTTGTGAGGTGCGTGATTGTGAGGTGTGTGCTTGTGAGGTGTGTGCTTGTGAGGTGTGTGCTTGTGAGGTGTGTGCTTGTGAGGTGCGTGATTGTGAGGTGTGTGCTTGTGAGGTGTGTGCTTGTGAGGTGTGTGCTTGTGAGGTGCGTGATTGTGAGGTGTGTGCTTGTGAGGTGTGTGCTTGTGAGGTGTGTGCTTGTGAGGTGTGTGCTTGTGAGGTGTGTGCTTGTGAGGTGTGTGCTTGTGAGGTGTGTGCTTGTGAGGTGTGTGATTGTGAGGTGTGTGCTTGTGAGGTGTGTGCTTGTGAGGTGTGTGCTTGTGAGGTGTGTGCTTGTGAGGTGTGTGATTGTGAGGTGTGTGCTTGTGAGGTGTGTGCTCGTGAGGTGTGTGCTTGTGAGGTGTGTGCTTGTGAGGTGTGTGCTTGTGAGGTGTGTGCTTGTGAGGTGTGTGCTTGTGAGGTGTGTGCTTGTGAGGTGTGTGCTTGTGAGGTGTGTGCTTGTGAGGTGTGTGATTGTGAGGTGTGTGCTTGTGAGGTGTGTGCTTGTGAGGTGTGTGCTTGTGAGGTGTGTGCTTGTGAGGTGTGTGATTGTGAGGTGTGTGCTTGTGAGGTGTGTGCTCGTGAGGTGTGTGCTTGTGAGGTGTGTGCTTGTGAGGTGTGTGCTTGTGAGGTGTGTGCTTGTGAGGTGTGTGCTTGTGAGGTGTGTGCTTGTGAGGTGCGTGATTGTGAGGTGTGTGCTTGTGAGGTGTGTGCTTGTGAGGTGTGTGCTTGTGAGGTGTGTGCTTGTGAGGTGTGTGATTGTGAGGTGTGTGCTTGTGAGGTGTGTGCTTGTGAGGTGTGTGCTTGTGAGGTGTGTGCTTGTGAGGTGTGTGCTTGTGAGGTGTGTGCTTGTGAGGTGTGTGCTTGTGAGGTGTGTGATTGTGAGGTGTGTGCTTGTGAGGTGTGTGCTTGTGAGGTGTGTGCTTGTGAGGTGTGTGCTTGTGAGGTGTGTGATTGTGAGGTGAGTGCTTGTGAGGTGTGTGCTCGTGAGGTGTGTGCTTGTGAGGTGTGTGCTTGTGAGGTGTGTGCTTGTGAGGTGTGTGCTTGTGAGGTGTGTGCTTGTGAGGTGTGTGCTTGTGAGGTGCGTGATTGTGAGGTGTGTGCTTGTGAGGTGTGTGCTTGTGAGGTGTGTGCTTGTGAGGTGTGTGCTTGTGAGGTGCGTGATTGTGAGGTGTGTGCTTGTGAGGTGTGTGCTTGTGAGGTGTGTGCTTGTGAGGTGTGTGCTTGTGAGGTGCGTGATTGTGAGGTGTGTGCTTGTGAGGTGTGTGCTTGTGAGGTGTGTGCTTGTGAGGTGCGTGATTGTGAGGTGTGTGCTTGTGAGGTGTGTGCTTGTGAGGTGTGTGCTTGTGAGGTGTGTGCTTGTGAGGTGTGTGCTTGTGAGGTGCGTGATTGTGAGGTGTGTGCTTGTGAGGTGTGTGCTTGTGAGGTGTGTGCTTGTGAGGTGTGTGCTTGTGAGGTGCGTGATTGTGAGGTGTGTGCTTGTGAGGTGTGTGCTTGTGAGGTGTGTGCTTGTGAGGTGTGTGCTTGTGAGGTGCGTGATTGTGAGGTGTGTGCTTGTGAGGTGTGTGCTTGTGAGGTGTGTGCTTGTGAGGTGCTTGATTGTGAGGTGTGTGCTTGTGAGGTGTGTGCTTGTGAGGTGTGTGCTTGTGAGGTGTGTGCTTGTGAGGTGTGTGCTTGTGAGGTGTGTGATTGTGAGGTGTGTGCTTGTGAGGTGCGTGATTGTGAGGTGTGTGCTTGTGAGGTGTGTGCTTGTGAGGTGTGTGCTTGTGAGGTGTGTGCTTGTGAGGTGTGTGCTTGTGAGGTGTGTGATTGTGAGGTGTGTGCTTGTGAGGTGTGTGCTTGTGAGGTGTGTGCTTGTGAGGTGTGTGCTTGTGAGGTGTGTGATTGTGAGGTGTGTGCTTGTGAGGTGTGTGCTCGTGAGGTGTGTGCTTGTGAGGTGTGTGCTTGTGAGGTGTGTGGTGCTTGTGAGGTGTGTGCTTGTGAGGTGTGTGCTTGTGAGGTGCGTGATTGTGAGGTGTGTGCTTGTGAGGTGTGTGCTTGTGAGGTGTGTGCATGTGAGGTGTGTGCTTGTGAGGTACGTGATTGTGAGGTGTGTGCTTGTGAGGTCTGTGCTTGTGAGGTGTGTGCTTGTGAGGTGTGTGCTTGTGAGGTGCGTGATTGTGAGGTGTGTGCTTGTGAGGTGTGTGCTTGTGAGGTGTGTGCTTGTGAGGTGCGTGATTGTGAGGTGTGTGCTTGTGAGGTGTGTGCTTGTGAGGTGTGTGCTTGTGAGGTGTGTGCTTGTGAGGTGTGTGCTTGTGAGGTGCGTGATTGTGAGGTGTGTGCTTGTGAGGTGTGTGCTTGTGAGGTGTGTGCTTGTGAGGTGTGTGCTTGTGAGGTGTGTGCTTGTGAGGTGCGTGATTGTGAGGTGTGTGCTTGTGAGGTGTGTGCTTGTGAGGTGTGTGCTTGTGAGGTGTGTGCTTGTGAGGTGCGTGATTGTGAGGTGTGTGCTTGTGAGGTGTGTGCTTGTGAGGTGTGTGCTTGTGAGGTGCTTGATTGTGAGGTGTGTGCTTGTGAGGTGTGTGCTTGTGAGGTGTGTGCTTGTGAGGTGCGTGATTGTGAGGTGTGTGCTTGTGAGGTGTGTGCTTGTGAGGTGTGTGCTTGTGAGGTGTGTGCTTGTGAGGTGTGTGCTTGTGAGGTGCGTGATTGTGAGGTGTGTGCTTGTGAGGTGTGTGCTTGTGAGGTGTGTGCTTGTGAGGTGTGTGCTTGTGAGGTGCGTGATTGTGAGGTGTGTGCTTGTGAGGTCTGTGCTTGTGAGGTGTGTGCTTGTGAGGTGTGTGCTTGTGAGGTGCGTGATTGTGAGGTGTGTGCTTGTGAGGTGTGTGCTTGTGAGGTGTGTGCTTGTGAGGTGCGTGATTGTGAGGTGTGTGCTTGTGAGGTGTGTGCTTGTGAGGTGTGTGCTTGTGAGGTGTGTGCTTGTGAGGTGTGTGCTTGTGAGGTGCGTGATTGTGAGGTGTGTGCTTGTGAGGTGTGTGCTTGTGAGGTGTGTGCTTGTGAGGT